CTTGGAGATCTATCCCATGGTTACTCTCTCCTAACTGAAAAGAGGCTCTTAGGTTGGCCCAGGCTGTATCCACACTGGTAGGGTCTGTGAAGACTGGAGGTCAGGCAGCACCCTGTAGTTGTGAAAGGGGTAGATGTAAACTGTCAGGCGCCCTGAAAGATTCTTCCTGTTTGCTTAGGGGAGACAGAAATTGGGGTAAGAAAGGGAGTAGAAGGGAAAAGGATGGGGAGAGAAATCAAGAAACATTGGTGGTGATTCCAGCAGAGAAAAATCAATGAAAGGTGAGGAAGAATCTCAAAAGGACTAATGAAGTCAAGGTGCTTTCTTTCAGCTGTGTGAAAAGGCACACTCTTTCAAAGTGTTTTGTCCAAGACAGTGGTGGCATGGGCAGGAAGTCCTGAGCTTGGGTGACCTTCAAGGCTGGTTGAGTCAGCCATGCAGCTTCGTGTGAAGACCGAGGTCCTGTTCATCTTTTTTTTTTTCTGTGCTGTTGCTGGTGTGGTCTTTATTATCAGAGACCAGATGTCACACTCAGCATGACTAAGTCCAAGGGCAATAAGAGATTATTTCTTAGATATAAGGAGACAGCTAGCAGATCCTCTTCACATCTTGTTGACCAGAATTGGGTCACATGCCCAACCACATGTTGGTGGGAGGAATGAGAACCCAGGCCTGGAACAGAGAAGCAGTCTTCCCACAGCAGGTGGCCATTTAGAGGGGGAACACTCAGATACCACCAGGGTTCTGGGAGGAGAGTCAGTGAGGGAGGCCAGACAATCAGCAGCTGAAGAGAAGAAGAAGAGAAATGTAGAGCTGGAGAAGCAGAGAGGCAGATGGTGAAACAGACAGAGGAGGGAGCCAGGAAGGGTAAGAAAAGATGGAAACAGGAAGCTTGTTAAATGTGGTGTCTCAGGTTAAGAGCTGTTGTCTTATCTTGCTGAGCGGTGAGGCAACCATAAGAACATGCTTTCCCTGCCATTTCAAAAACTCATTAACTTTTCAGTAATTAAACTTATTAACCATTTCTCAACTTCAGAATTATAAAGGAGATGGCTGTTGCACTCTCCAGACAGATTCTCTCCATTTCTTCTTAAAATAGACCAGAATTTATTGAGTCACAAACGAGTTGTGTGAAGTAAGTATAACAATTACTTAGTTATGTCTTTATTTATAATTTGATCTTCTTCATTGTAAAAGCAAAGTAATCATTTTTAACTGAAGACTATATGAAAACAAGAATATATGACCCCACCACCTGCCAACTATTATTATTTAGCAAGAATTAACTCTTAACATTTTATATATAATTGTGTACAATTTTGTAGAGTGCTTTTTTTTCAGGTACGTCATATACATATTACAGATTTCAAAAAGAAGCAAAAGGATGTATTTGAAAATAATGGAGGTCTCTTTTTCACCAATATCTTTGAGACCTCCAATTTGCCTTCACTATTATCAGTTTCTTTTATTTTCTTCCATAGATAGTCTACTCATCAGCAAGGAACTATGTGTACATACATTCTTTTTGCCAACTTATTTGGTTTTTTTACTACATGGTAGTCTACTTTGCATAATATCACAAACTTGAATCTTTTTCATTTAACAGCATTATTTAGAGATAATTCCATATAGAGTATCTTTAAAGTTTAATATAATATATTCACACCTCAGCACACCTTTTTTTTATAATCATCATCCTTAGTAGCTGTAAAAAGTTTGAGCGAATGATTCATTCATTCCTTTAATAAATATTTAGCAAGCACCTGCCACATCTGCAGAGCACTGGTGATTCAAAGATTAAAAAGAGATGAAGACACACCTTGAAAGAGTCATAGCAGCATGGAGAATAGGCAGATAAACAAGTAATTATAGACAGTTTCTAGTGCCAAAGTGGAAGAATGTAGGAGATGTTAAGAGAACAAAGGAAGGAGCCTCAATGATGCTGAATGAAAGTGCTGAAGGACAAGTAATGGGAGTGGACTCACACACAAGCGCAAGAAGAATGTCCCAGGGAAGACACTAGGAATGAACTGTATGAAGGCACAGAAATGGGAAGGAGCATTGTGGTCAGGTGACTACAAGGATTGGGTATAGCTCCTACTCTTTGATCTTTAACTTGTGGCCAAGAGATCAATATAAATAATGCTATGATATACAACTTGCATTATATAACTTTTCCCATATTTTGGAGACTTTCTTTGGCTAGATTCCCAGAAGTGGGACTGCTGAGGTCAAAGTTTAGGAGCACTCTGACCTGCTACATATAGCCAAAATGCTCTCCAAATGGACAATTTCATTTCATAAGGACACCGGCCATGTATGTGTAAACCAGTGCTCATTATTTATCGTTAATTTATTTTACTGCATATTTGATTACAACAAGTTAAATTTCACCGTATATTTGTTATAATTTTGATTTCTTCTTCTGTGGCATTTTTGTTTACATACATTCATTGAGATTCTATTTTACTTTAGCTGTTATGAGATTAGTTAGAATACAGATATTCTGATTTATATTTTTGTATTTGCTGCCAATATCTTTTTCTGATTAGGTTACATTAAAAAAAAAGTCCAGTACCTAAGTTTTTAAGATACACCCACACAGCCATTTCTTTCCATTGCTTCTAAGTTGAGGAATACTTCAATCTGGAAGTGTAAGAAACAGTCTCTTCTGGTTTGCTTTAAACAATATATTTACCACATTAATCCTCCTAGAACTGACTCTGGATATATATATGAAATGATGTGAGAATTCAACTAGCTTTCCCCTGTTCCAAATCATGAATGAATTACTTAAACTTTACCTTCTCCACTGATTTTTTAAGACTTTATTTTTTAGAGTAGTTTTAGGTTCATAGTGAAACGGAGAAGATTACATACTGTGTGATTCCTTATGTTTAACATTCTGGAAAAGGCAAAACTGGGGAGACACTAAAACCCAATGAGTTTCAAGAGGTTTTGGGGGAAAAGGAGCATCCCTATATAAGACATTCTAGAAAAGGAAAAACCATGGAGACACTTAAACCCCCATGAGTTTCAAGGGAGGGAAGGGAGCATGATTAGGCAGAACACAGAGGACTTTTAGGGCAGTGAAAATAGTTTGTATAATACTACGATGGTGGATACATGCCATTCTACCTTTGTCCAACACCATAGAATATAAACCAAGCGGAAACCCTAAGGTAAGGTTTGGAGATACTGGTATGTCAATGAAGGTTCATCAATTGTAGCAAATTTACCACCATGTCTAGGGATATTGGTTAAGGGGAAGACCATGCCTGTGTTGGGGGAAGGGGTATAAATATCTCTGTCTCTGTTGATTTTTATTTCAGAGACAAATCATTTGTCAAGTGGATCAAATTTCTAGTCTTCCTGAAATGTGTCACATCAGCTTAAGACAGACTTAAGCTTTCCTCTGACTTACCCATCGGTTCTATTTATATATAGAAAGAATTACAACATAGCAGAAGAGGCTTAGGTAAAGCTTGCCAGTGTTCTGTTCATAGGCAAATTCACTGCTGAAAGACCTTCCTTTCCAAGCCTGCCAGATTGGTAGTGGTGTGGTCTGTATTTGGGGTGGGTGGGTGGAAGGCAACTTTAAGGAGCTATTCATCCAAAGGGCTGAAGTCACTGTTAGCCAGTGTAGTAGTTTTGGTGGCACGAAGTGAGTAGAATCTCCTACCTTTGTGGGTACCCTGGCTCATATCTGTTATCTCAATATAGCCTCAATCCCTCTGAAGAAGTACTTTCTGGCCTCCCAAAGCCCTAGACTGCCGGTTGTCAACTAGCTAGCAAAGTTAGAGGGTGTTATCTAGGGAAACCCTTCAGAGGCTCTGAAACCTACTGAAGAATCACCTGTGGATCTTTTTATCTGGGTCAATAGGGGGGTCTCATTGGGTGGTCCTGGAAAACTTTCCTCACCTCTCTTTGTAGCTGTTAGAAGCCTGAAGAAAATTGCCACAGGCCTTTCCACACACATCCAAACGGTTCTTCCTTCTCTTTTCACGAAACACCGGTACCTGCTTTGCCTGCACCAGTGCGTGAAAAGTGCCCCAGGAGGGCGGATACACCATGGGCACACCTGCTCAGAGAGGATTCCAAAACGATTTCCAGCCTCGCGTTCTATCCTTTCCCAGGTTAACAGCATAATGGTCGGTGATGTGTAAGCTCCATTCGGATTCCCTAGAGGATGGTCCTGAAACCCTTTCTGGATTGCTCCTAACAGGAAGAAGTCACGTTCCTCCTGCACTGTTCGGTCAGGGGCGTTGGGGAGGGGGGAGGAGAAGACGTTTATGTGGTTCAAACAGACCAAGTGGGTATGGACTCTTTCGGGCTATCTCTTCTGGCTCGTCCTCATTTTGGGGATGAAACTCGTTTCTGGGACAGATGGGAACGCTGAGTTAGTCACAGAAGGATCCAGGAGAATTTCCTTTGTAACGCTCCCATCCCCCTTCTCTCCCTTTTTCCAACTCCTTACTGTCCCCTGTACCCCGCGGCGAAGTTCACGGCCACTTTCCTCCTCGACTCAGTGGCACTGCTTCTCCTCTTGCCACATAACCCGATGGTTATGCTCGGAAGGGGGGGCTTTTCCAGGGGTGTGGGGCTCACCCAGCGACTCTCTCTCCTGTGTCCCTCGAAAACTGCGGGTGGCTGCCAGGGACCCACTGCCCAACATTCTGGGTCACTCCGTCAGATTGCTCCCGATCGGCGCGACCCGAGGTGCTCTTCCTCCTCTCCTGGGTCTGCGATATCTCTATTTCCCCAGCCGCAGCGTGAGGGGGTCACGGCAGGCGCGGGGAAGGGGCGGGGAGGAAGGAGCGGGAGGAACGACCCAGCTACGTGGTGCCACCGCCGCTCGGGAGCGCCCGAGCCCATGCGCGCGCGCGCGCCGAGCCAAGGCCGGGCGGTGGGCGGAGCCGCGGGCGGGGCGAGCGGCAGGCGGAGCGGAGGACTGCGAGGCGCGCGAGCGAGCGGGAGAGCTTGCGGGCGAGCGAGCAGCTTCTCCGCCTGCATCGGTGCGGCCGGCCGCGTCTGCCCGGAGCCCGAGGACTCACCGCGGGGCGCAGGGACGCGGGCGCCCGCTTTTTTGCGCGCTCGGAACCAGCTTCGGCGAGCCTCGGCCGGGCAGCGCGCGGCTCCCCGGCCGGCTGGTGGCCACCCGGGCTCGGGGCGGCCTCGGCGCGCGAGGGGCTGGAGCTGCGGGAGCCGCTTTCCGCCGGTGGGTCCCCGCGCGGCTGAGCCCGGGCCGCGCGCTCCTCGCCGGGCTGCTCCGAGCCACGGTGCTTTGGGGCTCCAAAGTCGGGCTGCCGGGGCAAGTGTCTTCATGAACCCAGAGGATGTCCGGGAAGCACTACAAGGGTCCTGAAGTCAGTTGTTGCATCAAATACTTCATTTTTGGCTTCAATGTCATATTTTGGGTAAGTTGAAACACTCCGGAGATTGCAAGTATGGGGGGGGGGCGGTGATCGATCGGAGACCACGTCCCCAACGTGGATCACTGTCTTCACTTTTCGCAACCCCTCGGGGTTTGCCGGAGCCGAGGAGAGAAGCATTTGCACGTTGGATAAAGAAACATTTAATCCTTTCTAGGAATGGGAGGAGGTAAAAAGAAAAATCCAGGAGGAAAGGGGGCACCCAGGCCTTGGGGTGGCATTTTTTAAAGAGATGATAGAAGAGATGTAGATCAAAGAAAAGGGTTCGGCAGTTTTGAGGACCGAGCGAGCCCACGAATGAGGTTTGCTCCCCGTGGAATATGGATGTTGTGCAGAGCGTGGTGTCATAATAGGGCAGGCGGATCGGGCAGAGCCGACCCCCAGGTCCACCTTCTACCATGCATCTGATTGGACGAGGGCCAGGCTCGCGTGTGGCCGCGGCTGGTCTGTGCCATGCTCAGCCTGTATCTCCTTGCACCATCTCGGGCTTTGTGTAGGATGCAGATGCCGTGGTGTTTGGTTCTGTAATGTGCACGTAAATAACGCTTCTCGTTCAGCTGCAAAGCGCTCCCGGTGCATAATGGACTGTCCAAGTGGGCGTGTGGGGTGAAGGGATTTATTTCTGTATATATCATTGCCAGGATAACAAGTCTCCGTCAACATATGTTTCAATGTGCTCGTGCCTCACGTCCTCCTTTTTTTTTTTTTAATGGAGTGACACAGAGGGGGGCCGGGATTGGGGAACCCTTGGAGAAATGCAAAGGCGTGTGAGACATGTTTTATTGGGGAACCAAGAATGCAGATGCTTGCACCCAAGATTCAAACCATGCTGTGTGTGGTACTTTAGGGTGCTGGGCACATACGGTAATTAGGCTGGGACCCTACTCTTTTGTGTTGTTTGGGTTCTTTTCTGGGATTTGGCCAATGTGTTCAGCCACCAGGCAGAGTTCTCTAGGACTAGGAACAAACGGCGGTTGGAAGAATGTGTTATTTTTCCTCCCCATCTCATCCCACTCTCCTCCTCCCTGGGCATCCCCCTTCCATGGAAAGGAAAGATGGTGGCCGTCTGGGGGGTTCTCCAAGTTGCTGTTCAGTGTGAGGTAGACAGTGATCCAACTGCCCAATCGATAAACACAGCAGTCTGAAAACTGGGTCTATTGATTCGGATCTCCTTTAATTTTGGCTGTTTGCTGTAAATATATAATCTGTGAGAACAGTTGTCAGTACTCTTTATATTTTCTTTTTCTTTTTTTTCCTATCACACTTATTTTCTGCTTTCTGTAAGAATATCTTGCATTGGTCATGCATGATTTGTGAAAGGAAGTGGATTTGGTGTCAGCATGTCATCTTTCCTCAGGACTGATAAAAATTAATAATAAGGGGGACATGGGAGAAGATATCCTATCATAGACAGTTTATTGTCAGCAATTGTTTGTGGTTCCTGTGAGCCAACCCTTCTCCCCCCCCACCCCCCCAATCAAACACTGCTGTAAATGCAGCAAGAAAAAATTATTTTCTTTCTTCAGTTCTGTCCCTCACCCTTTCTGGAAGTGTTTAAAAAGTGATGGCATTCTGATTTTATAGAAACTCAAAACTTGGTGACATTGAGAGTGAGGGCTGTGGAACCGGGCTGCTGGGGCAGCAAGTCCAGGCCTCTTTATTCTGCTTGAACACTTCTGAAAGTTGCACATTTCAGCTACCAGGCAACCAAAAACACCCAGGGGCTTCTCTGCAGCTTCATAGCAGAGAGTGAGAAGGAAATAAAAGGATTTTGGCCAGTTTCTCTGACAGTTTGGTGTAATTTCATAGAGCACAGGAGGCAGATAGCCTAGTCTCTGGATTAGGGTGCAAAACCCCTAGAATTGTGCAGAGCTTGAAATTGCAGATTGCTGGCATAGAGAGCTCCAGAACAGAGCCACATCTTGTCGAATTTTGAAGGTCTTCCTGTGGGTGGGAGGGAGTTTTGTGGGATGCCAGAAAGCAGAAAGGCCAAGGAATAAAACATCAGCCCCAGGCAGAGTTGTTAAGTAAGAGGCTACTTTTGAGGGCTTTTCTCTTACCTGTTTTCTACATACTCTTCCCTCTTTTGTGTGCCCAAAGCCTTTCTCTGACATGCTCCCCATACCTTTCCTATCCTGTTCTCTGTTCCAAAACTAGTTCATATTCACATTTCCCCATCTATCGGGATCAAGTTCACTATGGTGATTGGCAAGAAGGCTCTCTGATTAAAGCAATTCTGACTAAGATGTTAGTGGCTGACGAACAGGAGTCAGTAATTCGGTAGTCTCCATCAAATCTTGCTACCCTTGTTCTCTACAGAGTCACTGACCTGTCTTGATTGCTAGAGTTGGTGTGCTCCTCTATAATTATGGAGAGACTGCTCACAGAAACCATGGCTCCTAATCTTTCATTTTCACACAGACATGCTAAATGTGAAATACATTGAAGACATTTGAGGGTATGGTTCTGGTAAAATAAAATTGAACATAGTAGCACCAGCACTTTATAGTTTGGTTCTTTTTACTAATCAGTAGTTTGGCTTTGTGAGGTAACTGCCCTGGGCCTCAGTTTACCAGCTGTTAAAATGAAGGAGTTTAGTTGAATTGTGAAATTCTTTCTAGTTCTGACAAAGAATGACTGTGTTGGGGAAGAAAAATACAAATGATGGGAACCAGTATATAATGGAAATAGCATCTACTGGGAACTAGTTTATAAATTGTCTTATTGACACTTGACTATTTTTTCTTTCTTTTTTTTTGGTGGTACTAGGGATTGAACTCAGGGCCTTGTCAGTTTGCCAGTCCTTTGAAATAGGGTACCACTTTAGGCTCCTGACTGGCCTTGACTGCCTTCTTCCTATTTCTCCTTTCTTCCTGGTAGAGCTGGGGTGCCAGGTGTTTTCCAGCACACGCAGCTATTGGCTGAGATGGGGTCTTTGAACATTTTGCTGGGGCTGGCCTTGAACTATGATTTTCCCAATGTCTTCCTCTCGAGTAACTAGGCTAATAGGCTTGAGCTACTGAGCCCAGACTTCATTTCTTCCTCAAAGATCCTTTCATTTTTTTTAAAAAAAAATCTTCCACTCTTTTCTTTTTGCTTGCTCAGTTATTGGCATGGTATGCATGCTTCCCCATCTCCACTATGAATCTCAAATGTAGTCCTCTGAGTCATTAAATGTATTTTTATTGTTAGAATTACACTTTCATTTGTAAAATCTGAATTCTTTTATATAACAGTTGTGATGATATTCTGAGTAAGAAAGTCAACATCTTGTACAGATTCCTTTCTCATTAGTGATCATGGGGGGGTGGGAAAAACCATTATATATTGGAACAACTCAAGACAGAAGGAACTGATTTAATTGAGGATGTCACCACACTGTGACATTTCTCAGAAAACTCTGAGACATCTCGTCATCCACCATTAATAGATATTTTGCTTTGGACCTTGATTTTGATATTTAACTATTTTTAGGCAAGTAAATTAATCTCAATATTTATTTATTGATATGTAACAATCCCCAAACTTCCTAGTTTAAAACAAAACTTTATTATTGTAGGTCACAGTTCTATGATGTGGTAACTCTTCTGTGTGATTCTTACTTGGGGTTTCAGATGAAGTGGCAGTGAGATGTGGCTGGGGCTGGAGTTACTGAAGTCTCCATTGAGCTGGATGCCCAAGATGGTGCTCTCACCTTAATGATAGTTGATGCTTGCTGAGGGCTCAGCCAGGAAGTTGAACCCCTGCATATGACTTCTTCCTGTCATCTCTGAGACTGGAAGAAGAAGCTTCTATGCAGTTAAACAATACCTGGAACTGCCACAGTGTCACTTTTCATCTTTTCCACTGGTGAAGACACTCGTGGAGCCTGCTCAGTTTCAAGGGGGGGGGGTAGAGAGAGGAAGGAGAAATAGTTTCTATCTTTTGATGCTTAAGTGTCAAGGTCACATTGTAACAGTCTTACAGATCATGTAGATTGCAGCCTTCTCTAGAAATGCAGTCTATTTCACTGAACCTTAATTTCTTGTTTCTGAAGGAAAAAATAGCATAATCCAATGAAGTTGTAGTTTCAAGGATTTGATGAAATAAAGAATGACCCAGCATGATGCCTCAATATTTAGCAATTGATAAATATCTTGATTGTCTCCTGATACTGTACTAGCTCCATCCTGGGCTACAGAGCTTCTAGAATTGCCTTAGCTGGGTACTTTGTCATCATCACTACCAGGTGACAACAGTGCTCTTAAGATCTGCCAAAAAGACAAAGCAAATGGATTTCATAGATTTTATTGTTACTTATTAGGGGAAAAAAAAAACACTCATAGATCTGTGGGCATCTTCAATGACTTAGGAGAAACAAGTCATTTTTCTTATCCCCTTTGGTGTACAAAGACTAGAATAGCCTTGAATACTCCAGGCCAAATTTCTCTTTTGGTATGTTCTCAAATATTACATTGTGTTACGAGGGGAGGTTTATCCAGAGTTGATGGCAGAATGTTGCATCTAATTTGCTTCCACAGGATTTAACTTCAGAGTGAAGGGAGATTTAGGGAACCTTGGAGGAGCATCAAGTAGAAAGCCTTAACTTATGATTCACTGTAAATTGCAAGATGTTCTGGAATGATGATACATCAGCAGTTTATAAGTCATAATTTTTGTTTTAATTTGCTAGACATCTGTTTAGCTTTGATGGCAACCATATGGGAGTCTAAATTGCCTTTTGAATTACAGGGAGATGGTAGCAAGGAAGCTAAATTGGCTGTGGAAGTGTCATGTAGGAAGAGTGTAAGAAAGGTGTATGGATCTCAGTGGGGAAAGTAACAGAACATTGACTTGTTCTGGCCACTAGGCTGTGTCTGTGAGAAGGTGCTGAAACAGTCTTTCTTGATGATGTACTTGAAGATTGAAATGAAGCCCAAGGGAAAAAAGCTGGAAAATCAAGTAATACTCACCCACCATGAAATTGCCATGTTAGCTCACTTAGA